CCCAGGAAAATGGATCTGGAATCGGATTTTGAATCGAATCCTTCTCTTTTCTGTATCTGCGCTTATCTCTTCGACTCCTTATTCCCTTTTATTATGGTTAGTTTTATTATTTACTGTTTTTGTTTTCCAAATTGAAATTACGTGGCCAAGCGTGCCGACGTCAGACGTTCTCACGTGTGAGTCTATTTTATTTATTTTTAGAATATTGAAAGTTATTTATATATTTATTTATTTTTAACAAAAAATTATTTATATTTATGATTAGGTAATTAAAATCTTTTAAAACGGCTGTGATGCATATTTTGTTTTGCTAAATTATGATACATAAAATTTTATATTATAATATTGATATTTTAAAATGTTACCAAAAATATCAGATTTATTTTGTATTTGAAAGTCTAGTTTGGAGATATTATCTACATATTTTTTAATAGTGTAAAACTGTAAGAAAAAATAGATTTAATAGTAAAATTTGTCTACTATTGTTACATTTTTCTTTGTAATAACTTCGAAATTTAGTGTTGAAATTCGGATCTCCATAAGTTTGGAGTTAGTATTTAGTTTATTCTCTTTAAGAATATTTTTTTTCTTTTAAAGAAAATTAAAATAGAGACATTATTTGGAATTTCGACAAAAAAATTAATGAAATTATTATTTGGAAGGAAATCAGGGTTAGCTAGTAAGAGTTGCTTTTTGGACAAAAATATTGTGTTGATGTGAATTTTGGTACCATAAAAAAATTCGAAAATGGAAAGAGGGACCATAATTTTTTTTTTTTTTGGTTCACAGGGACCATAAATAAATGGTTAAGTTAAAAAAGGGAAACTTAGTGGTGTCCCTCGTATTCATGAAATGCAAGACAGACCACGTGGTCACTTAGATATTTTTCTGTACCTCTGTCATTAGTTGGTGTACGTCAATTATTTTTCCTAATTCAAACTTTTTTTTGTTATGCTTCAAAAGTCACTGAAAAAAAAGATAATGAATAAGGAATGAGTATCAACAAGTTTACAAAAAAAAAGTAACTTAAAACTGTAGTCAACAAAATCCTTATAAATTTCTATAAATGAGAAAATTTATTCCAAATTATGCAAAATATTTAGAGAGAGTAGATTTAAATTGTTGTAAGGTTTTCACATGAAATATAACATAACTTTGAACCTTGTAAACGCAACTTATAAAATTGGGGAATATATCAAAAAAACAAAACTTTTAAAATTGGGGAATATAGTTATAGCCACAATTTTTTTTTTTTTGGTCGTTAGCCACAAGATATTCATGACTTTAGCATATTCTCTGTATGTG